GCCAAAAATTGTTGAACATGTGCTTTCTGTGAACAATATATTCCAAATAACAAGTTAAACTCTTGAAACAATGCACAATTCAGAAAACAAAACAAAAGCAGAAATGTAAGGGTAAAATAGAACCAAACAATTCTTTCATTTAAACAATATGCTTGTTTATGAAATTAGGGATTAGGCCAACTATTCTTTGTGGGGGGGTTGTTTGGGGGGGGGGGGGGGTGGCGGTGAGGTGGGTTGGGGAAAGCATTTAAAGCAAGAGTAGGAGCAATGTCTCCATGTTGTGGAAATAAGAATGTTAAGATGGATGATACAAGTGAAAAGAAGAAAATATAATTAAATATTAATGTAAAGGCTACCATCTAGTAAAAGAATATAACCTGTCTTTCAAGAAGTTGAGTTCCTCTAGAAGGTGCATCAACTCCTATCTTTCCATTACCATAAAGTTGATAGTGTAATGGTGAACTCACATCAGGAGAAGAAACATCAATAACTCGGTTGTTCTCATACTTGTACCTGATTAAGGAATTCATGAGACATTAGCCAAGAATACGGAGAAGAAATGAGAATTCAGACACAGAAATGATCAAATTTGAAAAAGGTACACATTATTTTTTAAATCAAGCAGCTGGATGTTGTAGACTTTTAAACACCTAAAAATAGAGATTCAAAAGACCCAAATTAAGTTACTCACAAGCCTGCAAATCAATAATAGTATAGATATGCAAGCATGAGACTGTATCCACAAGGATTACTTTAAAACCAATTTACCAGTTAATTACGCCACACTTAATTTAAGAACGAAAGTTGATTGATTTGAAAGAACAGATTAAAGAAAACTTCTTTTAATTGAATATCCTTGCAAAGACTAAGGATAAATGTTATAAAAACATGACAAATAATGGACCTATCACTGCAAGTATTAACAAAAAGAGGGGGGAGGGCAGGGAGACCATATTAACACCAATCTTTGGCTCAGTGACTATTAAAAAAATACAAAGAAGGTATCTTGTAGTTGAACAGCCTTGTCTGTAGAAGATAAGGCAAGGAGAAAAGTGAATAAACTCCTCATATCCAACAGGACTGACAAGGAAGTGTTTACCTTAAAGTTTCTGCATCAGCTCTAACATCAATTGTCTCTATCTCTCTGGAAATTAGAGATTTCAACCGTGACGTGTATGAAGTAATTGCCTGAAGCAATTGAGGAGGATTCTTCAACCCATTCACTATTGCAGCTCTGACCTCATCAGGTAATTCCCCATCAAAATCAAAACCTAACTTGGCTGCTTCTAACTGAGGATTCAAATGAATACCACTTCCTTCATATGCAGGAAAAGAACTGCGAATTTTTTCAATCATATGTGCTGCAAGAGATTCACAGGCCTTTCGGATGTTTCTTTCCCGAGTGGTTTCGATAAGAAGCACATCATCTGCTGCTTTACTGCCCTTAAGAGTTGAATAAACAGCTTCCTTTTCACTGTTTGAACCAAAGCTGTTAACCAATTCAAGAGATGAATCAACACCTGACCTTTGAGCATCCCTTGCTTGATTAACATAATAACGAAGACGTTTATGATACTCTGCAAATATCTTTTCCGCTTCGTCACACTGTTGATAGTAAGCCTCCAACATTACTTGCTTATGCCTGCATCAAGATCAAGGATATATCAACATAGCCCGCAATCTGCATTGAATAACTTGAAATACTATCCTGTGGCTGTGAATATCATTTGAATTTACACGGCCTTCCAAAAAAGGGGTTATTTTTTGTTGTGTGGATCAATGAACTAAACACAAATTTTCAAACAACAAGACTATTCTCAAATAAACCTTGCAAAGAGGAATAGCATCGTGTTTCCTCTCTAAATAATCTACATAGCTCATTTCATTCTTAAATATGATGATAATGACATACCACGATAAATTTAACATTACAAAACAAGTTTTCAACCCAACCAAATCATGTACTGGAGTATGCAAATGTTTAAAAAAAGCTCAAACCTTTTTTTAGAGCGTTCATCAAGCATCCTCTTCCGTTCAGCCTCAGCCCTCGAAACCTCCAACATTCTGGCCTTCAAATCCTTCCTCTGTCTCTTCACAATGTTCCTCAATTTCTCCACCTCCTTTACCGCCAAGTCCCTCTCTTGCAGCGCGGCCTCCCTGGTCTCTGCCGCACTCGCAGCCTCCCCAAGTTTCTCCTTTCTCCTACCCCCTTTACTTCTCGTGATCTCCTCCTTCCCCGCCTTTGCCAATGCGCCACCGTCCCCTCCACCGCCGCCACCACCATGTACCGTTATATTCCTTCGAATATTCTTCACCGTATTCTCAGACTTCACGCGGGTAATCAAGAAATTCCAAATGGGTATCATATTCCCACGGCAAATCTTCCTCAGCGAGTCGATTGAGGGCAACTGCGATTTGCTAGAAGCAGCATTGTACGGACCCAAAGGCCGGTACCCCATTTCCTTCTGAAGCCATTGCAATATCGCCTCCGGCTGGGCCGCAGAGCTCTGCGCCGATCCCTGCATTCTTCCGTACAAAACCTAGACTCTCACGTCTCCACAAAGAACAAACGTTTCGAGAACTAAATCCCCATCTGCAGCGAACATTCAAAACCCTAATTCGTGCAGTGGTGAACTGAAATTGGAGCTAAATTACTTCAAACGCCTCACACTGACACCGCTATGAGCGTCGGGAGAGTGCGAAACGGAGCGGCTTGAGGGCAATGGAGGTCTCCACGATGGTTTTTGAGAATTAGGGTTTGGAATTTGGGGGAAAATGTTGGAGAGGGAGAAGTGGATCTGAGACGTCGCCGGCGAAGAGCTATAGGCTCAACGGTAATTTGATGTATTTAAACAACCGAAACAAGTAGCGTAAATTTTGTTTGATTCAAATTAAAATTTACGACAAGGCGTACGGTGGCCATCCCAATTTTTTAACCTTTTTAATTTAATTATTCAATTTAATGCTTCACACGACATATGGTGATGTGTGATTTTTACTTTTCACGCAATTTCTTACTTCTCGCCCATTCTCTGTTATCTTCTGTTATTTTTTAATTTATTTAAATCCTTATTTGATTTTTTTAATTTATTTTATCCGATAATCTAAAAATATGTATTCAATTGGAATTTTAAGGGATTTTAATTTTTTTAATGAATCTAATGGTATTCAATTAGAATTTTAAGTGATTCTCTGAAATTCAATGTGTATTCAATCAGGATTTTAAGATAATTTATTAAAATCCTTAGAAATACGGATGTATTCAATTAGAATTTTAAAGAAGTTTATAACATGTGTATTCAATTAGAATTTGAATTTAAAAAATTTGGAAAAGTTGAGGAATTAGAGGGAATTAGAGAGATTTTGTAGTGTATTTTAAGCATCTACAAATTTCACCTCTTTCCATGAGATTTAAAGGGAATTGAATCAAAATTTTACATGAAATCTCTACAAATCAGTTAAATTCCATAAAAATCCATGGATTTATAAATTCATTAAAATCTCTCAAATTCTTAATTGAATACATCCCCTAAAATTGAGAGTAGTGTTTACAAAAAAAAAATGTGTGTAAATAACCCCACCATTTTAATACACACTTTTTGTTTTGAACTGCGCTATCGATGTTTTAGGTTAAATTTGATTTTCACAATTATTTTTATTTTTCATCTTATGTCCAGCAATAATGCCATTTTGAAAAGGGATGTTTGTCAAGATAAATATGTCCAGCAATAATGCCACTTTGAAAAGGGTTGTTGCATACAATACTAATATACTAATTGTAGGAAGAATGGGCATACAGTGCCGACACTTTGATGAGGAACAAATTGTCAATCTCTTTATTATATATTTTTCATATGATATTGAAAAAAGAAGGTCGAACTCAATACCTCGAGTGCAAAGTGCATGTTTCTTATTTGCAATGGGCAATTTATGAATTAGAAAATAAAAAATAACGAATATAGTGAATGAGAATGAGATCAACTATTTTTTATGGTCAAACCTATTTCCTAATTTTTCAGGTATTGGGTTGCAATTGGTAGTGTGGGAAATACGTACTTTGTGATTTCATGTCTCATGTGTGAGAAATTAGGAATCAGAATAATTTCAATCCTATACTTATAAAGAATGAGTATAAGAGAGAAAAGAATGATTCTAACTCTTGACTTCTCACGTTTTAGTGCATATAAGAAATATAAAAAAAAAAAAGTTAAGTCTTACCTTAATTTCTGAAATCAAATGCCTTCAAAAAAGAAGAATTGGAACAACTAAGGAGAGTAGTTAATCTAATTTTCCTTTTGTACTTCGTCATTTCTAAGTTCCTTAGGTATGTTTGGGTGAAGAACTTTCAAATTCTCAGGGATTTATATATGGTGATGAAGAAATAAATCACAAAAAGTTTGATAGGAGTGGTTATAAATGACCACAAAATATTACAAAATGCATGATATACGGATCTCAAAATGATTACTTGAAATGAATCATTTACAAATTTTTATCAAAATTTTTCCTATTTCTGTGATTAATTTTGTTCCAAATTCTCTTATCTAACCTTTTGTGATCAATTTTTTCTTCATTTGACCTAAAGACCTTGTAATTTGGTGTCCTTACCCAAACATACTCTATGTTCTTATCTTATCAATTTTTTTTTTTGTAAATGATAAGTTAAACATGCCATTGGTAAATAAAAAAAATAAAAAAAGATAAATAAGCAAGGATAGTGCTATTCAGTATTCACATTCAATTTTATTTCTTATACATTCATGTTAATTTGTTATTATTAATATTTTTTAAATCTTTTAGTTCGATTAGCTGGAAATTAATAAGAACATAGAAGAAATAAAAATAAATGTGGATAGTGACGATGATAATTAAGGTTCTACCAATACGTATATAAAATCACTAAACCATTTATTTAATATTTTTTTGGGAGGAGAATTATTTATTTTGCATTTGGTTTGGGAATGGGACATCATCATTAAAGTTAAAGGGGACAGATTAAAGGAGGTGACTTTAAAATTCCGCGCATTCATAGCTCCCATAACCCGAAAATCCAAAATCCAAGTACAAATCCAACACAATTTTGACAAATTCGAAAACCCAATTTCTTAACCCACTTACCCAAATTTAGCACCCGATTTTCGAATTTTCATATTTATCCAATCATCCAATTCCTAATTCTACTGAATTTTCCGATTCCTTGGTGCACCTGTCTCTGTCCACCCACCAAGATCAATCTCCATCTCTCTCCTTCCACTTCCTTCCCACCTCTCTCAGGTACTTTTAATTTGAAAATCTATGTATTTGTAATTTTTTTTTTAAATTTATTTGCTTTCTGCAGTGTTTTGAATCTTCTGATTGCTTCAGGATTGAATTGTATCTGCAAAAGGAGTTTGATTTTTTATTTATTTGCTTTTTTTTTTTTCTGGTGATGGGTTTTATTCCATGAACATTCTGATTGCTGCAAATTTGAATTTTGCAATTGGGTTTTGTTTTTTGAACCTTTTGGATGTTCCAAGATTTGATTTTTGCAAAAGGGTCTGTCTATTTACATTGGTTTATGTGTTTTCCAGGTTGATCTTCCTATTAATCCTTTTATTTTTGAAAAATTAGGATAGCTTCGTGTTTTCCTTTCCCAAATTATGGTGTTTTAGTTTTTAAAATGTTTTGGATTAACTGACTTGACCTTCACTTTTCTGTGAATTTTTCTCTTGGTTGATATGCCTTTCTTCTTCACCATACTAGAGGAAGGGTGAGGAACAAAAAAGATGGTTGCTTTCTTAATAGATGTGGGGGATTTGTATCTAAATATATCTCTTTGGTGTGACTTTATAATCTTAAGTACCTTCTGAAATTTTCTGTGTTTCCTTATTTTTCAAGTCATGGGATTATATAGCTGCATTTGGTTAGGTGCTACGATCTTTCGCAGGAAACATGACGTCGAAATAATTGATTTACTTTAAATGTATGAACTCTCTGTACCACTAAACTGATCAACATGGATTGTTTATGTTTTGCGCTTTAGTTAATTTGGCTAGTGAATTTGTTTAGATAGCTCTCTTCAGTTGTAGCGTTTTCTCTTGTCGATATTGTTGTTCGAAACTTGAACATTACTGTATTCTATTTCGCAGGTGAAGAATATAACCGTAAGTTATACCAAAACCAGAAAAGGCATCCGACATTGTTAAATAGAAGAGGGAGGGTACCAGTCCGCAGAGGCAGTGGGACTTCTGCGAGCTTTGTGTCCTCTCTTGTACTTATCAAAGTACAGTTATTGCTCCTAGCGCTCTGTTGATTAATGCACAAGTGGAGCTTGATTGGTTTTGGTTGATGAGAGTGTAGAATTGTTGCCGAGACTTATTTTGAAGCTGGCACAATGGGTTCTGTTTGTTGTTGTTTGAATTCTGAGAATTTTGAAGATTATGTGAACCCGAACAGTTCTGCATATAGGGACTGTGCCTGTCTTAGTTGCTTTCTTCAGAACTTTCTAAATGTGGTATGCCTTTGTCATCCTCATTACTGAACTAATTCTTCTTCTTTTTTGTCCTTATGTGTTTTCCGAGTTCCATATGTTTAGAATGCATAATACATTCAACATTAATATTTTTGTTTATCTGTAATTATGCTGGAGACAGTGCTGCTTTTGTGCCCTCACTTATCTGCTATTGCATTGGCAACCCTGTGAATATTTTGCTGGAACAAATGAAAAGCCGTTTTTCTAATTTACTTTTGATTATCAATTAGGCAGTTGCTCACTGTTAGAAGTTTTGAAGCTTATAAAAACTTAAATTGATGATTATTAAGATATTTATATTGATGATAAAAACTTTCTTCAAGATGGAAGTATAACCTGTTATCTTCCCTTATTTTGCAGTATACATCACTATTCAGAAGAGAGGAAGTGCATTCGATCCCCTCATCCATTCAGGGGGCTGCATCAATGAACTCCTCAGCATCACTTGACAACTCCTTGTCTGACATGTATCGTTCGCCTCCAAGGCCCTTGCCTTATGATGCTGACCCCAGATACAATCGCTTGCAGCGGGATGGGTTGATTTCTAGGCGGGAGAAGGGCTCAAGTCACTCTCATGAGGAGGCTGAACCTCTAAGAAGTGATACTGATGCAGATTCTGAAAGTTTGAGTACGGGAGAAAAATGGAATGGCTCTGCTTGTGAAGATGGGTCAAAAGAACATCGTTCCAAGTCCTCAATGAAGTTCTCATCGGCCAAAGCTACAACTGGAATTGGGAACTTCTATTCATCCTCAGAGGACGAGGATGTTTGTCCAACATGTCTTGAAGGTAATTTTTCTTTGACTGGTGTTTGTCCTTCTTCCCTCAATCTGTAGTAGCCGAGTTTCTTCATGTTGACTTTTTTGTGGATCTGATGGTCATTTCCACTTAAAAGTACACAAACATGAATGACACAGTCCTATTTGGACTCTGTTAATTGCACGTGTTTGCTTACCAAATTGAATCAACTCAATTACATCTGTAAAGGGTACATTTTCATGTTGCCTTTGCTCTGCTCCCCTAGAAATCGCACTACTTCAATAATTTGGCACGAAGCTTGGAAAGAGACTTAAAAACGCTTGAGTGGATCTGCAATATTTGTTGCAATGTTGATTGGTTTATGATTCTGGAAAGTGTACCCTTATGGTATATAACTTCTGATATATAAATTCTCATGTTTTTTCTGTTGCCATTTATGCAGAATACACACACGAAAACCCAAAAATAATAACAAAATGCTCTCATCATTTTCACCTTGGTTGTATATATGAATGGATGGAGAGAAGTGAAAGCTGCCCTGTTTGTGGCAAGGTAACATTTTCTTTCATAATGATGATTGATGATAATCTGTAGGTAGCGACGGCTTTTAGTTTTCAACTCCAGTCAAGTATTTGTGTTACTTACGTTATAGGAAAATTCCACCATCGCCGATGTATTGCTATGCATGTTTTAACTATTTATTTTTGGTCCTGAAGTACTCGAATATCCTTTTCCCTCACCAACACACATGGACTCGAGCTGCTCGATCAAGTAATTTGGTTTTGTACTGTCGATTATACGCTGCATATTCATACCGTCAATTAAAAAAATTAGGAAGTCCATCCTAAAGTTATTTCTCTAAGCTTTTCATCTGATATGACAAATAGTTATAAAGCAAGTTGCTTTTCTCCTGCAACCTGTATTTTGACTGTGGATTTATATGTTTCGCTTTGTAGGTGATGGTATTCGATGAAACGACTTAATCGCGATCGAAAAGGTTTGCGTCGTTGATGAATCCAACAACTTTGGAAGAGAGAGAACACTAAGGAAGTGATTTTCATTGTGAATACCACATGTCGAAAGTGTCAATTGATGGTACATATAAACTTGATTTCTGAGAACTTGTAAGTAAATATTCATTCCATATAAGTTCTTTCTTGCTTGCATTGCTCGGTTAAATTATGATTTACTTTTCACTTCTTTCTCCCTTAATGGTGTCTTAAATCTCACATCAGATTAGAAAGACTGAACAACATTAGCCTAATTATATATCGGGAATTGTTACTAGCGCTCCAAAATACTTAATGCAGATGAATGTTTTCGTATCAGATAAAATTAAAAGCCGGATAAATAAGGATACATATTGGGATAGTTATATGCAGAAATATCTGATATGTTATTAGATTGTAAATCAAGATCGCTCGATTAACGATTGTCATTAACACCATTAATACAACATGCAAAATTGTTGAACAAAAGAAAATTGATCAGCATTTAATTTAAAACATGTTTCCAAGGTTGCGTATTCTTGTTAGAGCTACATAGTGAATGCCTTGAGATGTGAAGTTTTATAATTTTTTGGCTGATTCGAAAGCAGCCAGAAAGACCTCAGTTGGCTGAGCACCACTCAACTCTTCCTTTCCAATAATCTGCCCCAAGTAAATTACCGAAATGGTTATCAAATGAGTCATAAATTTTTACGGGATGTGAAGTTTTCATCACCCACGACAAAGTACGGGATTCCTTTTACTCCAAGTACTTCTTGAGCTCTTCCTCTACCTTCATTTTATCATAACAAGCAAGGTCAGCAGAAAATCACAGTCGCCTATTTCTCTCTCAAGACGCAATGGTTTTGTGACGAGAGATATAGGAAGGAAATGATATATCTCCGGTCGTATGATAGAATCTCTCGAAGAATTGACCTCGTTGAGCCCATTGCTAGGGTCATCAAGAAACTCTGCTGCCTTTCTGCATCATTTTTTTCAGCACATTGCAGAAGAAAATCCCTGCAATCAAATTGCAAATACCTTTTACCTCCTAAGTCGTAAAGAATAAAGAAATTGTCTCAAAACTAAGCTTCTACCTGTCCCCAATGTGTTCCCCCTCTGTGAAGTATCCAAGACAAATCTCATCCACAAGATCATGATAATGATCTTGTTGCCCAGCAAAATATATAAGCTTGTGACTCTCTAAAGTATTTCCTCTGCACTTGCTTTAGACGATTCAGATCACTGAAATACAATTTATAGGATGCCCTTTGAGGGTGTCCTTCAAATATATTTATACATTGAGATTTCCGGTGCATAACTTCTTACATTTGACGTACGTGAATTGAACACTTCGGACACATCTTTGCCGAGCTTTTTCGCATAGTACTCTTTCTTGTGAGTGCCTATTTAAGGGGCATCAGGATCGAGTTGATACCGACGCCACCGGAGCTCGAACTCCTATCGATCGATCGTTACCTGCCACCGGAGCTTTGTCCAGATTTCTTTTAGCCACAAAGCACCACGGACACACACTGTCTGCAACCATATCAATTTCAACAGGCTTTTTCCTTCTAGCCACGGACACACACTGTGGCTTGCAGCTCAAGCGGTTCAAAACATATAATCTTCTACCCGAGCACTTGTGTTTGATTTCTTTGCCCGATATCATTTGTATGAAGAAAAAAGCCCAAAATAATGTTTACTTCTAAAGTTTGCCTATATCAGTAGATGTGGACGTTTCAAACTTGCACTTGTCATCATTTTTCTAACAACAAAAGAACGTCGGAATTCAGGCATTTTAATCTTACTAAAACGTGATTCGTGAAAACACGGCGATCTCATCTATAACCAAGAACAAAACAAAGGAACAAGAGAAAACCTGGTATCACATGGATAGACATATATAAACCCGGTGTCGCATTATTACATCATGTGAAGAAAAAGGTTCATGATTCACGCTCAAACATGATACAAATTACTCATATGTATTGAAAATATATTTCCAAGGTTGGATTCTTATTGGACATGGAGAGCGAAGGCTCGTATATGTAAATATATTTCCGAGGTTGGATTCTTATTGGAGATGGAGAGCGGATGCTCGTATATGTAAGGTTGCATCACTTTGTGGCTGCTTCGAAAGCTCTCAAGAACACCTCAGGCGGTTGGCCGCCACTTAACGCAAGCTTTCCATTGTTAAACTGCCAAAAGAACCAAATGATTCATAAGTAGAAGATCTATTAAGCTAATCCAACAAAAGTTCAATATTCATATATGTGAGTTTTCATCGCTCACCAAAAAATGTGGGACTCCATTGATGTTTCTTGCGTACTTCTCCAGTTCTTCATTGACCTTCATTTTATCATAACGAGCAACATCAGATATATCGAAAATACAGAAGGTTGTTTCTAATTCTAGCCAGATTTACTTTCCAGGTACAAAAAACCAGAATCTTATAAGTTGAATCAGTCGATCTTTGAATCTACATTCTGTTCTCATTTGTTAACTTGGCAAATAATAGCAACGTGAAGGAATCAGTAAACAAACCTCATTGAGGCCATTGTTGGGGTCTTCAAGAAACTCTGCTGCCCCTTCTACTCCAACCTTTTGAGCACTTTCCAGAAGAAATTCCCTGTATCCAAATTGCAAATATTTGAATTGTGCCTCTTAAATTCAGATTTAAGGATGTAACAGCATTTACTTCCACGTTGTTTGTTCTCCCATAAAAACTGCTTATCTTGTTCATCTTAGAATGGAAGGGGTTCACAACATTTAACGCGTATCACAAAGTATACAAGAGAAGTAATCGCTAAATACAACCTTTAAGGCATACAGATGTGAAGTCATGAAAAACTGGCCCGAAACTTTGCTTAATTACCTGTCCCCGATGTATTTTGCCTGTGTGAAGTATCCAAGAATAGTTCACCCACAAGAGCATGTTGCTTATCATGCGCTTGAAGCCCAGCAAAATAGATAAGCCTGTGGCTATCTAGAGTACTTCCCCTGTGCAATTTCGACACAATGTTAATAACGTAATACCTAAACTGCAATCCAAGTTCTAACAAAACCTTTTCCTGGCTTTCCCTCTATTACGAATTTGGAATCAGTGAAACAATGGAAAACGAAAAAAGAAGTATCCTTTACACTTACGTGAGCCCGGTAAGGTTATATTCCAGGCTGTGGCTTCGGAAAATCTGCAATTGTCAAAGGGGACATAGTGAGTGACTGGATTGACTAAACATGTATTTCAGTGTTCTGTTTGTACAGGTGATTCATAGAATAGAATTGCAGCGATACCTCTGCCATCCGAGCCTCCATTTGTTTCGACCTATTAGTCCCAAATTTTTCCTCATAATAACTTCTCTTATCAACGCCTTCTTTAGGCGCATTGGGATTAAGTTGGAATGGATGCCATCTAACCTGAAAAGTTCATACACAGTGACAATATTTTAGGATGGAAACACAGCACAGCACAAAGCCAACAACTTATATACACTTAGGGTCCGTTTGGTACTTCTTTTGCAGGATGCACTTATGCTCATAAACGCTTTCACTATAAGTGGTTTTACTAGAAACACATTAAAATTTTTATCAAAAGTATCCAGTGCGTCTGCTAGAAAGCGCTCCTACAATCTAGAAATACTTTTATGTTTTCCTACCAAACGTATTTAGAAGCACTTCTGGTTGTCAAAAACAGCTTTTAAACAAAAGCAACAACAACAACAACAACATCAATATGGTGAAAGAAAAAAACAACAGCATCAACACAACAAAAGCAAACAACACAAGGAAAAGCAGAGAACCTCAAAGTCGAATCGATCACGAGATGCCTCAAAAGCTTTTTCAAGATTTCTCTTGCCCACAAAGCACCACGGGCACACCGTATCCGACACGATGTCAATTTGGATGAGCTTCTTCCCAGCCGACACACCAGCCATGTTTCTATTTCTACCACGAAATTAACACAAACAACACAAAATTAACGGCAGTAACCATAAGAACAATTCCCGCCGGCAATTTTGACATCAAAAGTCACCCGATTAACTCAGATTTCATATCATTTTTTTTAATAGTTTTAACATCAACCAACATATTCATACAAATTAAAATACAACGATTGACGAAACAAATGAATCTAATAAATTAAAAAGATTTGATGCCTTCATTCGAAGTTGCGAAGTAGTTACGTTACCTGTCTGTCTGTAAAGACTGTAATTTTATCAAAAGCTTGCGTCTTTGGAGAAGGAGAAGTCAATCGCACTCGCACGTCGTGGCTTTATGGATGCCCTGCCGACGTTTTCATCAACGTCTTCCACCGCCTCATTTCTTCAGGCTTCACCAACCGCACCCACGCCACGCACCGTAAAAGTCAAGGAGAGCTAATCTTGAGTGGCACATTTGACCAAAAAGTTAGAAAGGTAAATGCATAATAGGAATACTTTTTGACCCTCGAAAGTCTTTTTCTAGGGATGGGCAACGGTTATGGTGGATGGATAATCGTAATTATTTACTCATAACCATTTAAGTTTTTACTCACGTAACAGTTTACCCGTTGAGTATTTACATAAACGGGTATATCTATTGATGGAGTGCATAAGGATATTTACATAAACGGATATACCCATTGATGCAGTGCATAAGGAGTTCATTCAACGGGGATTTTGGTATTTTGGTGTTTGGTCATTCCGTTAATTATTAATTTGATATTCATGTATCTTAGGCTGTGATTTAATATTTGTAGTAATTTTGATGCATTGTAAGTTGTGTTTTAAATTGAGTGGCTAGGTGGAACAATTGTCATTTAATATGATTTCGTGGCTTAGGGAGTTGTATCTGCATTGATGAAGATGTTTTGGCACACTAGTATATTAGGGAGAGAGTTTGATATGTTAAAGGAAGACAATTGGAATTATAATTTTATGGTAATGAAGAATTGAGCACTGCTCTTCTATGATTTTTTCTGTCAAGCCTCGTGTGTCTTTTGACATCTCCTCTATCTCTTTGTCGTTTTGCATTACCCATATCCATAACCACATACCCATTTCCCCATAATCGCGTACCCGTTTATTTTTACCCATCTACCTATTTTTTTTAACAACTTGAAAATTAAAAAGAAATTTGTCATAATTTTCTTTTTTCTAACTATTAAATACCGTTATAAGTACATTTAACATGTATTTTTATATTAACGGCAATATTATTTGTGAATATATGCGATGTCTCCCAATTATTTGACGGTCAATCTATTACAAGAATCATGCATGGTTGTAGGTTAATTAATATTCTTGTATACATACATACATATATATATATATATGTATGTAAGTACGCATCAGTGTGCTAATAAGCTAATTTGATAAATATTTGGATTTTTATTTAGAAACATATGTTCATCGATTCAAGCCATTTAATCGATTTCTAATTTTGGGGTCAAATATTTATTGAAAACTCGAGGCCAATTAAATATATATATATATATATAGGTACGCATCATCTAATAATAACATGTTTCTAAATGCTCAAGGTAATCATTATCTTGAATTAGTCAAAACTCCAAAAGACTCCAAAACAAAAATGTCTAACACTAATGCTTTAACACATTCAATCACATATATTAAACATTAGCTCATTCTATCAACTATATTTTTCTCTCAAGTGAGGCATATATTATATTATATGGCCCTTTATAATCAAGTATATCTCAGAATACTAAACCTAGTTAGAAACTAATTTTTTTTTTTTTTTTTTTAGTTTTACATATATTAAAATAAACGGTTAAATGGGTACCCGTTTATAACTGCGGGTAATACTCATAACCGTTCATTTAAATTTCACGGGTAAACGGTTATACCCATAACCGTAACCATCAAATTTAAATGGACGGATAACCGCGGTTACCCATAACCAATGGGTATTTTCCCATCCCTAGTGAGGATCCTCCTGACCAAACCCATCGGGTCGTTGAAATTTTATCCAACGGCTACAATTATTATAACTTTTAGAGGGGCCCCATGTTTGTAGCCGTTGGATAAAATTTCAACAACCCGATGGGCTTCGTCAAGAGGATCCTCACCCTTTGCTTAGGAGAGGATCATGATCCGTATGTTTTGATATGGGTCTAATGTATTGCACAGTCATAGGTGGGGTCTAATAAGTAGACCAATTAAAGTGTTCATAATTTGAAAACAAAATTGCATCGACTGTCATTGAATGTTTTATCATAACTCTTCCAGAATTAACATGGAACTTTAAGTTACACATAAAATCTCATCATTTCATAAAAAACTCTCATCTTTTTTAGTTTACAATATATCGTTGTAACTAAAAAAAAAAAGCTACTCATCAAATCTCGTCTTCATCAAAAACTCTATCCGACTCATGTTTTGAATTTTCCTCACGATTCCTGCAAATTAGTATCTAAATTTGAATTTGAATTCGCATGAAGCTATGAGAACTACAAGTAGTTTTACATGTTTTTGTTGAATCGTTTACAACAGTAAGCTTCATTTTTGTTGGTATTTGTTACATGATTCGAGAGCATTATACATTGATTGTCTTACGTAAGTAATTGCTCAAGAGCTTTTGACATTGATTGTGTTAGCTTCGAGGGCTTTTAACATTACCAAGATGGAAGACTACATCTTATTGTTAGAATCTTGTAAAATTACTTATTCCACCATGATAGGTAGTTACAATACGATAGGTAGTTTAGCTTGTACAAGTACTTGTATGGCAGGTAGTTCAGACTGTAAAAGTACTTATATAATAGGTAGTTTAGATTATAAAAGATCAGTTGAAATCTAAGTTTATGCCGACTAATATTATAATATGATAGGTAGTTTAGCTTGTACAAGTACTTATATGACATGTAGTTTAGACTGTAAAAGTACTTATATGATAGGTAGTTTAGATTGTAACAGATCAACTGAAATCTAGGTTTATACTGACTAATAGGGTACCTGAGTTGAAAAAAAAAAAAATAGAAACATAATGTAACTAATAGCGAGGCCCCCCAAGAGATTTATAGGTGTCCGAAATTTTGGAAATGTCCTAAATTAATTTTAGGAAATATGTGGTGCGAATATAATGACTCTAACTTTGGCTTATATAGCACACAGTTTTTTGTGAAAAAAAAAATTGAAATTTTTATCTTTAAGAAATATTTTGCGCTGGAGTAAGGAAAATATTGCAAAACATTTCGATGTGATCCTACTAATTATTAGGTTTTGAAACTATTTTTTATTGATTCTTAAAGTGAGAAAATAGAAAAATATCTTTAAATTTAAGTTTTAAATCATTGATTACAAGTATTTAAAAATGAATTATAATATATTTTGCACGAAAAAAATATATTTTGAAAAACACGAATATAATAGTGTGTTGTTATGGTAAGAGAAATAAAAGAAACATTAACAAAATAAAAAATAAAAAATAAAAAGTGAAATGAAAAAAAATTGAAAAGGGAGGGATCGGTATGAAGGTAGCAACTTTTAACCAAATTAGTCGCTATCATTTCAGCGACTATACTCAAAGAGAGTAGCTAGCAAAGTACCGATCGTATCATTTTCTATTTTTTTTTCTTTTTTTTTCTTTTTCCATTGAATAGATATAGTAGAATAAAATATTAATCACAATGCAAAGTATCAACCTAACAACAAAAAGTACTGACACATGGAGTCCTATTCATGGACCTAAATAAAAAAAATAACTAAATATTGGACTAATCTAATTGTTAGGCCATAAAATTGGGAAATGGATCCTTTCTGGATCTCTTCCACCAAATCTACCCAATTACTTAATTCGGACCCTTGAAATTTAGTCCAAAGGCTAAAGTTATTATAAATTTTAAAGGGGCCCCCTATTTGTAGTCGTTGGATCAAATTTCAAGGGCCTGAATTGATTAATTGGGTGGATTTGGTGTAAGGGATCCAGAGAGGATCTCTTTCCATAAAATTGGACCTATTTCAAGTTAGTTTATTTACACATAATAGATTTGTAAGGAAGAAGTTAATTTAAACCACATATTAATGAAACTTTTTTTGTCAACTATAAGAGGGTGAAAAAACATTTTTGTTTTCTATCACAAAATAAAATTATGGACAATAAAGTAATTTGCACAAACTAAATTTTACAGTTATTTTTAAAAGCATCATCTACATGTAATCCTAACAAATCACCTACAAGAACTTCGGATTTTTACAAGTGTATTGTTTTATGAAATTTCGAATTTCTATGACACTTATTTTCAAAACTTCAAATTCGAGTTTAAGTACGAACTCTAGGTTCATGATACTTGCAAACAAACATAATATACATATGTAGTGAACGAGAATAGCTTCGGGGCCTATGTGTGAAAAGAATGAGTGATGACCCACAAAATGGGACTGTTGTGGCTTGTAGGCCCAAAAGAGCGGTTGTTAGGTTGTTGGGCAACAAAGGAGAAGTAAATGAGTTAACAGATTATACACCCAATTATTGGGCTAAGAAGGAAAAGTGAAAAACAAGGCCTAACCTATGGACTTATTATTTCATGCCAGCCAAAAATAAAACAAGGCCCAAAAGACAAAAAAAAACAAGTGGGACGGTTTGGTGCATATGCCCAATTGGGTTGCAGGTCGACTACAGGTAGCCTAGGTCCGTAAGAAAGGTGATGCAAAACGGCTTTGTTTTGGACCTTAGAGTTTTGGAGCACAAACGATTTAGTGACTCGGTTAGCGTGGCTTATAAGAACAATAAATTTAAGCTGAATCTATAATTTGAAAAAAAAAAAAAAAAAAACGTAAAATTAGAGTTCATGCTTCATGGTGAATGTTTCATGCTATCATTGCTGAAAAAATATCGAAATTGAAACCATGTTTTATAGATTACTTGGATTGCTTGATGAATATTGTGAACGACTTTGTAGTAAACAAGCATTCAGTTCCTTAACTCGGTGTCAGAAGCATGTTTAACAATGCGTTGTGGCCTAAATTTAACTGAAGGAAAGACAGAGGGGTGGAGCTGCATAAAGAAAAAAGATAGGCTTAATTGGGAATTAATGTGATGATATTTCTCCGTACCTTGTGCCTTTTTAAGAAAAATAATGGGGTTACTTGCCCTACAAGTAATACAAAGTTGTACCCTTTTGTTTTTTGTAATTAATTCTTGAATTGTTTCTCACCAACATAAGTAGTTGTTGAGACTATAAATACTCAAGTAATGATATCTATTGTGAAATTGGTGTGAATGTCCACATAAAGAAAACAACCCCATATGGCTAAAGGTAGAAAGTGGAAGAATAGAAGTCAAAATTATATTGCTTAAATAGTAGAAGTTTGGTTTTTATTGTTTTGGTGTGTAAGCCTTTTACATGCATTGAAAGAGACGTATGCTTGTATCGTA